TTGGAAGGTAGTGAATTCTATAAGCAAACCCCGTTAATGTTGAGAAATCCTACAGATAAACATCAATCGACAGGTGAGTGATTTGGCAAAATAGCGAAAGGATAAGACATACTCTGAGTGTTTTTTCCAAAGCAATACATTTTCTACACAGACAACTCTGAGAGATAAAGTCGATACTCTGCACTGGGCGGAGAAACTTAAGTGAAATTATGTAAATGTGGCAGGAGAATGTGAGTACTGTATTCGAATATCATTCTATATTAGGTAAGTTCATATGATATAACGTACAGTGATATAGTACGGATAAATTGCATAACATCTCGAGCACAATTTATTTCTCATAATCATATCAGTGTATTCATACGAGGCAGGGCTATACAAAGCAATATGAACAATAAACTGTGCTCAAAACATCATCCAGTTATCAGTACTGTGTTACGGTATGTAAAATAAAATAATAATTTTTTTCCTTCACGTTCCCCAGTGGAACATAGGGCTCCAGGCTAGTGGCAGAGTTTATTTTAGAGGATGGGGTTGCTAGCCCCATACCTAACCTTCCCTCTTTACTAGCTTTATTATTGACTTAGCGAGGTAAAGGAGTGAGTCGACTGGGGATCGAACCCTGGACAATGTGTATGGTCGGCGAGCGTCCTAACCGCTATACCACCGACGCACGGTATGTAGTATCATATAAACTTATCTTTTACATGATTATATAATGTTAAATATTCCATTTGTTTCACTTACATTAATAAGCTTTATGCTGTATAAGCGTATGTAAGAAAAACAGAGTAAATAAAAAAGGTAATTATGTGTATTGAGTACAAAGGTGTATACAATGAGTTCAGAAAAATTAAAATCAGTCAATGAATACACTTCCTACACATACTTCCTGTATTCAGTATTATCTTGTAGGATAAAAGAAACTACATAATAGAAGGGTGTACAAGAAATATAACCCTTGGTTCTTTTTCCCAATTACTAGTACATGAAAATAACACTAAGGTTGAATAACCGAGAAGTTTATCATATAAATCAGCGTTTAAAATTTAAAACTCAAAACTGTGTGTGTGAGCATTTGTGGGACATAGGAAGTTTCGGTAGCAATTGTGTTTGTTTTTTACGGGATGGGGTTGCTAGCCTCATGCCCAACTTTTCCTCTTTACCGGACTTATTACCAGCTTAGCGAGGCCGAGGATTGAACCCCAAGCCGAATGAGTGGTTGGACAGCATTCTATCACTAAGCTACCGACACACAGGGTCCTTGTATTATAATCACTTCTTTAAACCAATTCATCATCTGAACAAGTAAGCATAATAAACAGTAATACAATAATACCACATTACACAATTTCCTTACTTATCTTAGCTAGTTGTCGTGAGTATCGCTGAATAAAGAATATGGTTTTAGAACTTCAAAAAACTTCATCTTTTGTTTTGAAAGTGTAGATTCCATTGTGGAAGAAAAGTCACTAAGGATATTTCTGATTACTCCTAGACACTAATACTGTGATGTTTAACTCTAAATTTTGGTCAGATCCTATCGACTATATGTGCACCTGAGTCAACAAACTGGTGATCTTTAAATATGCTGTTTTATTTATAAACCTTTTTGTAAGATATTTGAATCAAGCATGCCTATTAGGTAACTGGGTCACAAAACGATAACATAGTGGCTTGAATTCTTGCCTCCCTAAAAGTGAAAATACGAATTCATCGTCAAGGTGGGCTATTATGCCTGAAGCTCTAAAGAAGCTTTTTTTTATTAAAACTACAGCTTTTTGGTGGTGTAGTGAAATACGGAATTCAATAAACAGAGCATCAGTGCAGTAGAAGTACACTCTCCCTCTTCAGCATCACTTCAACTTCACGCTAGACAAATAAGGATAAACTACTTAATTTTACCTTGGTTATGTGTATTTACCAGTTTGACTGGTCTTGTGGAACTACTTAGCTGGATGTGTAATTAGACATGCTCATCATAGGATTTCTGAATATTGACCTGCATAGTTTAGCAAGCTATAAACAAGGTATATTCATAATTCTGTTTTTCCACACCTTATAGGTACTAAAATCTGCGTTGAAGATGTTATATAGAAGGGTAGGGAAAGTTTTGAATTTAAATCAACCAGCTCAGAAAAGAAAACTAATTCAAAAGTTGATGTTAACAAGGGATTTATAGTTATTTTGATGTGGTTTTGTTCTCTGAGCTGGATAGTTAGTTTGCGCAAACTAACTATCCAGCTCAGAGAACAAAACCACATCAAAATTATCCACCTGAGCTACAAATCTTCTCTATCAGATTTATAGTTATCTATAATATTCTGACTAAACTTAATATCCACATGAAGAAGCTAAACCTTCGGGTTCAGAAGAAATTAATACAGTCACTTTCCTTGCCATTTGCTTTGTTACTTCTATGTATAAAGCTGACAATTTCTGCTTCCCTTTAAACCTTTTACATTTTATCACTGTTTAACCAACTATATTATTCAACTCTGTTTGAAATAATGGAGAGGATTTGCCGCTAAGTTGGATGATTTTGATTAAGTCGTGTCCTCTGAGCTGGTTGATTTAATTGAGAGGATTTCGTCGTCCTCCTAGACAACGTCTACAGTGCAAGTTTCAGCATAAAATCAACTTATTTGAATTCTCCATGACTCATGATACAAGTGTATCTTCTGGCAACTATTGTCGCGAATAGTCATTGATTCACATGTCTAGGGATCATTGACTTAGAACTTGCACTTTCTTGTCATGTGATTTATTCTTCATTAGCTAGTGAATTCGGTCTATGGTAATGTGTTTGTTAATTACTGATCCACTTGAGTATCAGGCTTCTAGAAATTCCCTGACAGTATTTTTGATGTTTCTTCTATTTAAAATTTCTACATTATCCCAATCAAATTGATGTGCATAATTATCCGCATGCACTGATATGAAAGAATACACATCATGCTTTTTCACAGCCACTTTATATTCTAGAATTCGGATTCGAAGGTGACACTCACTTTGACCGATGTAATGTTTATTGAAGTTCTTATTTTTCCTTCACGTTTCCAGTAAAACATAGGGCCCCAAGGTAGTGGCTTGAAGTTTCTGTAGTAGTTTTTAATTTTTACGGGATGGGGTTGCTAGCCTTATGCTCAACCTATCCTCTTTACCAGCATTATTTCTGGCTTAGCGAGGTAAAGTAGTGCGTCTGTGGCCGGGGATGGAACCCCGGATCATGTACATGGTCTTAATAATGTCTTCTTTTTGCTGTTGGATTTTTTGGTTTGCACAATATTGATATAAGTGATCGTGCTGGATTGTATGTTATAGCACACCGATTTGATATGGAAAATATGGGTATTTTAAAATAGAGGAAACACAAAATATGCTGCCAGGAAATTTCTGGGGGCCTGGTACCCAAATTGATCACCAGTTAGCAAACACATTACTTTAGACCATATTTACCAGCTAATAAAAAAATCAACCGAATAAAGTATAACAAGACAGTTCAAATGAAATTGACCAGCTCAGAGGACACGACTAAGTTGAAATTCTACCCTTTAACTGTTGTATTAGTTTTCTTCTTAAGTTTAGGTGACTTTTAAATGAGTATCCTATTTATGGATAATAATACTTATACAAACTTCTGTAGAGTAATCTATTGATATCAGCAACTCGATCTAACTGAAACAAATATTGGCGTTATCGATTCCAGTTACTCTTCAAATATTATATATACATAAGTGTAGGACTTGATGAGGAAGTTATCCAACAGGATGTACTTTACTCAATATTCTTCTCTTCTAAATAAACATATTGTCAGCCTAGACACTATTAAGTGAGCCACAGTTGAAACGAGATCTATATGACTGCAAATCAAGAGCTAAGAATACAACTGAAGGGACGACAGGCTTCTACTTGTCAGAAATGAGGGCTAACATAAGTGAGTGGTAGGAAAACATAAAAAAGAACATTAAGGAACTATAATGCTGTTGTGTTATCACATAGAACAATAACCTACTACATATTTATTTCTCAATCCATCACTTTATATCATCTGACACATGAACAGTTGATTTTAAAGTCGGTTTAACTAACTGTTAACCCGATACTCATTTAAAAAATTATCCATTCTATGATATTAGATAGTTGGAGGCAATCGGCATGAAGCTCTGAAACTAGGTTTCATGCTAGTTGGCACTAGTCAGCGAAGCGTATCTGCAATCTTGAAGGAACTCATGTCCCTTCTTAGATTCGAACCCACGTCACGCAGTTCTGCAATCAGAGACGTTATCACCGAGCTATTCAGGCTCGCGAGTGACCTCCTGTAGGACTGTAGTGGGTATTTTGATTGAACAATAGTCGGTAACTAGTGTGGTGTGTCTAGTTCTTTCTTTGGTGCGGACTGAATTCTATCAGTCAGGTTTGCAGTCGCGAGCCCGAATAGCTCGGTGATAACGTCTCTGATTGCAGAACTGCGTGATGTGGGTTCGAATCCAAGAAGGGACATGAGTTCCTTCAAGGTTGCATATACGCCTTGCTGATGAGTGCCAGCTAGCACGAGACCTTGGTAGGAGGCTTCCTGCCGATTGCCTTCAGCCACCTAATATCATCAAATTAATGTGTAACGTGATGCTGAGCTACATAGAATGGTGGCCACATTGCAAACTTGACTGAAAGAACTCAGTCTGTACCGAAGAAAAGACTAGACACGTCACATTAGTTACTAGTGTCCAATCAAAATATTCTTTCTATGGTTAGCAAATTAACTGAATATGAGAAATATAAACTTCTCAGGTGAATCGATGGACTTTTAGATTTGTTCATTTCTTCGATGTGAGAAATAAGCGTTCTGAAGGTTTTGCTTCAGAAATAATTGACGAGAATCCTGTCAAAAATTTAACAGTTATCAAATAAATGTTTTTTGATACGTTTGTTTTATCTTTCCAATTGTTAATATTCAAAATATTTAATTTTATAAACACTAATATTAACAAAAGACCTACCCTCTTTGAGATTGTATGGTAGATCATATCTAGAGTATTCGTATCGTGAATTCCTTCCATATTCTTGAATATCTTCACGATTCCCCCCAATACCGAAATCATTTTTAGACCAGTAAACTTGAACTCCAGTTCCAGTGTCTGGATCTGTCAACATTCTTACACGACATTGTAAACGGACTGTACTATTCAGTGTAACTGATTGACTTTCTGGATGTAGCTGTATCAGACTGGAAGATGATAAATGATCTGACTGGCATTTGATATATACAACATCTAAAGAGAACAGAAAAATAAATAAAAATTTTTTATATTTAAGGCAGAAATTTGACCTGAAAATTGATTTTTATTCAAATAAAACTCATTGACTCAAATGTCTTAAAATGATTCTAGCTAAGAATTCGACTTGCTTATCTGAAACTCACGATAAGCATTGATAACAACGCATAAGATGTTTTATTTCACAGGTTCGATACTATCTTTTTATTCCTTCACGTTCCTAGTGGAACATTGGGCTGAAAGCTAAAGCTTTCAGGCTGCAGTAGTAATGCTGTTTATTTTTACAGGATGTGGTTGCCAGCCCCACACCCAACCTTCCCTCCTTACCAGCCTTAATACTGGCTTAGCGAAGTAAAGGAGTGCGCCGGCCGGAAATCAAACCCCAACCTACATGCGGGGTTGGCCAACATTCTACTGCTATGCCACCAACGCACAGCTTTGATATTGATGGACTGTTATTTCGCCTCTCTGATACATTTTCACTGGCTTCCAGTGTGTGTGATCAATATTTCCTTCATAAAGAATTTATACTGAGTATTTCGTTTGTCATAAATGAGGAAAGTGGTAAAGAAGGGGTGATAAACCTTTCTGCAACTTTCTGGGAAAGAGTCTTTATCATGAAGAAAGTATAGCGGCCAGATGTTTCTCCTGCAACTAAGTGAATTAAACAGAACAATATCTAATAGTTGCAATTGTTTCTAATATTTGATGAGGTGTGGACCAGGCCTGGTTTCACATTTCCAGCGTAGTGCATATTCTGGGGTTTGAAGTTAGACTTTAGAATTCAACAAGGAGATTTTATTCTTGTTGACAGTGAACAGTGAGGTGTTTATGCAGCATTTAAAAGAATTCAAATGCCTCATAGGATTCAAATTCATGTCATCCAGTACAAATCACAGATTTTATCACTAAGGTACATAAATTGTGATTAATACTTGTAAAATTAATTTATTATAAGCTCGTTTATCTAAGATATTCAACAGATATATACTGTGAGATGATGACATCACTTTGTATTTCCACTGGAATCACGTCACAATCAGCATGGTTGACAATAATAAAAATAAAATGATTGACATCTAATTGATCCATTATACGACATAAAAGTGCATATTAATAACCAGTCACCTTTTATCATGTCAGTTAGTCCCAGGTAGACAATAGCTGAAGTCTATTGTTCCTGGTTTCTGCATATATGTGATTAATCCGAAAACGCTGTCAATACTTTTATTAATCACTAAATTAAAGTGATGTGAAATAAGTGAGAAACACTTACCAGTATTAATTTTGTGACAAGACATTCATCACTGTTTCGTGATTTAGTACTTTTTATATTCAGATTCGGTACATTTTGATTTTTTGTGAATTAATAACCTGAAGTAAGAGGTTGTAGAGAAACTATGAAATGATCACACTTCTTATTGCTCCACTTCCAATTCTTTCTGACTGTGCAGGATAGTGTTCTTCCACCCTCCTGGACAAAACTCGAGTAGGTCTACCTATATATCTAGCTCAACACGAGCAGGTGAATTGATATACGCACATAGACTCCACATTGGTTTGTTTGTTAGATGTATCATACAGTGAAACAGTATTATTTACTGGACGACGATTCGAACAAAATTTATTGTTCATAATCATATCAGTGTGTGTGATACATCTAGCAAACCAATATGGAACTACTTACTACCACAGTGCCCAAGTTTTATACATGTATTAAAACGCACATAGAGTTGGTCAACAGCGGGATATCACGGTCCTTGAGAAGAACATTCCTGCGGCATCTTTGAGAATAGCCTTTACCAGTCAACCATTACTATTCAATAACCTGAAGGACAAGATTCCGCTGTTGACCACTTCTATGAGCGTTTATCAATTCACCTGCTTGTATGAAACTATGAAATAACATCATGTCGTGATTTCTACCTTCTGAATGTCTTATTTAAAATTATGGGAGAGATTTACTGTTTTAACAAGTGGATTTATCATCAAATGTTGACCAGCATAATTATCCAGTCTCAATTGGTGAGCATTCTATTCTCAGTTTTTATTTCAATGGTATATCATATAACTGATAATCTTATCGGAACTTAGCAATCGATATTGATCATTTAGTGATCCAACTGTGTGGATGTCTGCTGTGTTTAGATGGCTCAAAAAGTCCTACATGTGACTTTTACAGTCTAAGAATGACTATAATCTATGAAGAGCTATCTATCGGATGAAGAAACCAACTGTTGAACATTTTTGATAACCGAAATTCATGTCCTATCATCATTCGCGAAAACGGATCTATCTGATGACGGAGAATACAAATCATTTTATCATTAACAATTCAGAAAGCTCACAGATATCCCCTTCAATTTATCGTGAAATATGTTAGAAAATATACGTATGTTTACTTTCCAAAGTTGTCATACAAAAGTGCCAGAGATGAAGGCAGTTTTATTTTAAAACCCTAGCTAAAGTGACATAGTTCCTTCATACAATAAAATATCTTTGAGGTTTATTCAATGTGAGAATTTTCCCATTATTAATCTTTTTGCTTGATAGTTTTTCAAAAAAATTATTTAACACTTATATCTTGACAACCCAGTAACAGAGTGAATGCTTTGAAAAGTGAATGTGTCTCTGAATACTTGATTTAAAGTTCTTCATGAATATTCTGAACTCTAAGGATTTTTATGGACAAGACTTCCGAGTCGTTTAATCATTTTTACATTAATGCTTGGTAAAATTACGAGCTCGCCTTGTAACTAGAAGGTTCTGGATTCGAACCCTGTCGGCGGATCCGTATTGCTGAAAAGTCCCGGGCCAAGCTGGCGAAACAACCTGCTGTCGAATACTCCCAGGTGGGTTTTCCAATAGTTCGCTAACCGATGTCAGCTAATGATGAAATCCTCCAACCAATAGATCAAAGCCCTACAAACGAATGCTTGAATATCAATGAGATACTCACAAGCGACTGGCTCTATTCATTTAGGTAGTTACCTGGGATTTCAGTGGGAAGTCGTGACCAGTTGGGTACAGTAGGTCGGTTGTGTGGACAAATAATCGCCGAAGACATTGGTTAGCGGTCACTCTATTTCATGAATTGGCAGAAGTTAGAATTCATGGGCTGGCCATTGGATTGAGTGTGTCCCAGTGGCTTAGTGGTCCACGAGATCTCTGGCCTTGTAACCAGAAGGTCCTAGTGTTGAACCCCTGTGGTGGGTGCGAAATGGCTGTCCATAAATCTCAGGTGGTTTTCCGATAGTTCTCTAACCGATGTCAGCTCATGACGAAATCCTGTAACAAATCGATCAAATTCCTACAAACCGATACTTGAAAATTATGACTGTTTGTCTGTTTCAACATATAAAACCGAGCATCAGCACCTAGAGCCACAGGTATTCAGATAGATATATATTACTGAATAATGTTATTTGTTAAAACTATTTGCCTCAAGCAGTAGACAGATCTGATCTACACACAAGATAGATACTTCTTTCGATTCAGGCCCAGTTCATCAGGCGTAAGAGTGGAACAACAAAGCGAAACAGGTTATATCACTTCCAACGGACCTAATCAATGATTTACTAAATACACAGTTTGAGATGAAAATTTTAGTTCATACATTTATCATTTGATGTTGTAACCTGATTGAAGTTGATGAACCGGGAATATTGAAACGTGTAAAGCATCAAGCTTGAAGTATAAATCTATTTTGATATTTGATGGTTGGGGGGTAATCGGCCAAAGCTCTGAAACTAGATTTCGTGCTAGTTGGTACTCACCAGTCAGCAACTCATTTCCCTTCTGACAGTCGAACCCGCTTCACCCAGTGCTGCAATCAGATGCGTTACCACTGAGGTATTCAGGCTCGCGATTGGCCTCCTGTAGGACTTTATTAGATATTATGTTAACTGGACACTAGTCACTGACCAGTGTTCCAGTATCAGAAGGGAAGTGAGGTTCTTTAAGGTTTTAGATATGCCTTGCTGCCTAGCGAGTGCTAACTAGCATGAAACATAGTTTCAAAGCTTCCTGCCGATTGCCTCCAACCATCTAATATCATCCACTCAATGCACACTATGATGGTGAGCTACCTAGAATTGTGACTGCATTACAAACTTGACTGATAGAATTCACTCTGAACCAAAGAAAGGAATAGACACTTTACACTAGTCACTGACTAGTGCTCAATCAAGACATAAGTCTATTTTGTTCAACAGTAAAAAGAATATCACATATGCAGTGAACAGATATACTGTGATAAAACATCAGTTAGTTGACTTAGACACTAGTGACAAGTTATTGATAACAAAAATACATATGATCAAGTGGAAACCAATTACAACCAAAAATGCTTATTTAGAAAAATGAGTCCACTAGATACGATCTAATATTTTTATGTAGTCAGTCTGCAACTGACTAATGTGTTGATTTATCCATTAATTGCATATATTTCATTTTAAGATTTAGCTTATAGGGATTTGGTTTTTTCAAATTTGTCATGAACCGATGCAGTTAGAGAACCATTGAAAACAAGCAAGAGTACCAGAAAGATTCTACTATCCCCTTTGACGATGACGTTTGTCTTACTTCACTGTTTACGTCGTATAATCATTTCAAATAGAAATATTATTATATTCGATATTTAGGATTGCCTGAAATCTGCTATGATTATTTTGAAAGAGGTTCACAACTGCGGCTAGATAGCTGTGCTGTAAAATGAAACATCAGATTCAACAGCTTCTGTTCGGCACTTTTGCCAATTATTTGTTTTTTCGCATAAACTATTTATACATAATAAAGATATTTGGCATTAGGTATAATTTCGTAGTTTATCATTTTAATAAGATCGGTTCTTCTATTTGGTGGATGGTGACTAGCAGTGGAATCCGTGATGCGCACTTCATCCTATTCGGGACTAATCATCTGGGTGTATCTGCAATCCAAAGTGAGTGATGGTTTTCCCAACAAGAACCAAGCATTTTGAACCCAAAACATCAGTC